TGTAGTCCACTTGGGCACTTTTTAGAATAATTATGATTCTGTATGCAGTGACAGAGACAAATTCCGATTGTAAAACCTAGTTCAGATGTTACCGGAAATAGGGGAAAATAGGGAAAATATAGGGGAAAAGCTGTTTATCCAGTATTCATAGCTGCTATTCAAGAAGGAGGAAGAGTAGCTGAGAGAACACCTTTAAGCAGCATTGGGATGGTATTCAGTAACAGGATGCGTTTTCCCTTCTTTTTTCCCACTGATCGCTCCACCCACAGCCCTGTGTCCTCCTTCTTTCGTATGCCCCAAAATTCTGCTCTGAGTCTACCATATTGTGGTGGCAGCAAACCTGTATTATATTTAGTCCTCTTTGCTTCATACTTGCAATCTCGTTCTTGCTGGATTATTTGTTCAGGCTGCTAGAAGATGTGCCTGTTCCAGATTGCTGTTCACTTCACCCCTGTTTCCACTTGTGTACATTTAAAGAACATGGAGCCATGTTTTAAAGACTTATTATGCATGTTTTTATCCTTCTTTCCACTTAACTGGTTAAGGTGATGTGCATGCTATTGAATACCACAACCTAGTCAACATTCAGGTTAAAGAGGGCTTGTTTGAATTCAAAACATCCTTAAGGGTTCTAAACTAATTTTCCCCATTTATCCATATTATGCAAAGACAGAGAAGAGGATTAATGGAAGGTTAATGCTCTTTCTGCACAGGGAATGAACTTAGAGCAGTCTGCCAGAACCAGGGCCATGCAGGGCACTCCATCTCCCTGATTATTTTACTTTCACACACACTCCTTGGTATATGTATAAAATATGGGAAGGAAGGAATCTTGATCTGGCCACACAAACTTTTTATTTACAGTATAAACACACACGGCAGACTGTGACAGCCTCTTAGCCAGGCTTCCTACCAAAATGGCTGCTCTCTTTTGAACAGAGTATTCCCCCTTTTTGCCAGTCAGCTGATGCTGGTTCACTGCTACCCCAGGGTATGAACAGACTGGCCAAACTGAATCTAGCCAATAAACCATTCAGTAGAAGCTGGATCGAATATCCAGACAAAGGATATACGAACATTTCATTCAAAGACTAAGCTGCAGCTGTGGTGCTGGAGTTAAGTATTTCATGTCTTTATGGCTGCATGTCCATAAAATGTGTCTTTCCATAGTGACTGAATGAAAAACCAGATGTTCCCTTTTAGAAACTGACACAGCTAAGATTGGACCTCAGGTCCATGTTCTAGGGCCCACTACCTTGTCCGTCCAGAAATTAGACACTAAAGGGGAAAGACAAATATATCTAACAGGACATCACAGGACTGATCAAGACTGAGACACTCCCACAAAGTCCTTTTTTCTTATTAAAAAAAAAAAGAAGCATTTTACAATCAGTAAGTGGCCACCAGCTGCTAGCAAAGTTGAGTACAATTACAAGTTGGATGTTTGCAATCAGAAGCATTAGCCCCTAAAAATAACAGTGGGTTTTAAGCTTTGTTGCTTATTTGGATGTCTGTGTTTTATGGGGCACATGGCTAGGAGCGCTGTCAGCATCAGCACCTCCTGCCAAAGGTCAGCTTTATGGAGCACATTGCCCCGCAGGCCCTATTTCTCTTTCTAGTTTAGGTCCTGTTTCAAGTGCCTCATATATGCGTATTTGTCTATTCTAATTTGGACACACAACTTTTTAAAGTTAGGAGCCACAGTTTGCCTTTGGCCTTTTGTTATAGTACTGAGGGCTGCCCTTCAAAACAGTAAGTGAGCCTGGGACAAAAATTAAATTTCATTTGCATTTGACATACAATTCATATGATTACTTATATGAATTGTATGTCAGTTCATACTTACATATACTCATAAATCCTATACTAGATATTTTTGTCCATCACATTAAAAATAAACATTTGGTAACAACTTTTGGAGGACTCTGGAGCCTGAATCTAAGGCTTGGGTGGGGACTATTGAGAGAGAGAGAGAGAGAGAAAGAGGAATAGAAAGGCAATATTTACTTCTCAGAGGCATAATGCAGAGTGGAACGAATATTACATCCCTTTCATTGCCTGATCTGTTCCATTTGCATTATGTACATATTTACCTTAGCTTGTTCCTTTCTTCTTTATAGGTATTGGACCGTGTAAAATATTTGTTCGCTCCACCTCTCCATGGCCACTCACTCGCACACTTTCCTTCTTGCTGTTAACCTTTTAGACGTCTTGTGCCCTAGCGTTTCACTAGGAACCTGGTGCTATGACAGGTGTAGCCCTCAAACTGGCCAGGGAAAAGGCCATCCTAGATGGCTTAGGATCCAATGGAAATGCCGTGAAATACTTAAAGCAGGATTTTGAAGCTCTGAGAAGCCAGTGTTTGCACTCTGGGACCCTCTTCAAAGATGAAGAATTTCCTGCTTGCCCCTCCGCTCTTGGCTATAAAGATTTGGGACCGTATTCTCCCAAAACTCAAGGGATTATTTGGAAACGACCCCCGGTAAGAATATAGTTTCTGTTGATAATATGCTGGTTTGAGATGATATTCTATTTGCTGAAGGGGTCACCTTCAAACTCAAAACAGCTGTATTGTTTAGCAAATCTCTGATTCTTGGAAAAGGCTTGTTTTAATAGTTTTGCGATGACCTTTGCCTTGATCGAACAGGTTTAATTTGGATTGAAAATGCCAAAGCTCCTTTCTTGGAAAATTGCTTAAGTTGTCAATCAAAACATCTGAAAATCTTTGGAAAGGTAGTATATCTGAATTAAGTGATAATCATTGTATTGGGTGGAATTATGAACTGTAAAAATAAAAAAAAGTATTTATTAGGTTCCATGGACTGTGACTGTCTGGGATAAGGGACATCTGACAACATTCACCACTGAAAATGGCTGGAAATATATTCTTTTAGGATTTCTTTCTGTGCTCTGAGTGTTTCTGAGGCAATTCTGGTCAAATAGAGTTGAACTATTTTAGAGGTAATAATGGTTTCAGTGTGTCTTCACAATAGAGAATGGGTTAAACTGTTTATTTTGGTTCCATGTCATTTTTATATATTTTGTCATATAATCCCATTGTGGCTTTCTGCATTAATCCCAGATTTAAAATTATCTCCCTTCTTTTAAGTAATTGTTATTGTAAAGTTTCTCTTAAACAAATATTTTCCATGCAATAAATATTAAATGAATACGTTCCATCAAACCATGAGTTCAAATGCAAACTTCTCTCTAGAGAATTGCTGAGATCTTCGTCATTAATAGTATTTAGAAAGCTATTTGGGAATTGCATTCAGATTGTCCTAGATTAGTCCCAGAGTTGCAGAGCAGTTCATCTATATAGTTGTAAAAACTTCTCACCTGTCCCATTTTCAAAGCCACAAGATATAGAAATAGCTTTTAAAAACTTGTTTATTAATAAGAATGATGAATAGCATACAAATGCTATTTTTTTAAAAATAACATTTTCTTCTTTTTAATCCACAGCTACTCTATTCAAAGTTTGATTTCATTTTCTTTCCTTTTTACGGACCACACAAATAATTTTGCAGGTATCCATAGAGCATGTAACAATTCAGTACAGAAGCCTTAATGCCTGCATTATGTTGGATGTTATATATTTTATTTTTCTTGTGCTATTTATTAGTACATAAGGTCAGTAGCTGCTTTCAAACTTGTGCACAGTTGTGTGCTTTTTTACTTTTAGCTTCAGTGTTTTGAACTGTATAACTGATGTTTCTTAAACCTCTGTACAGTTTTGAATACATTTTCAGATATACAGAGGGCATTGCCAAAAGCAGAATGAAAAGGAAATGTTTCAAAGCCTTACTCATGCATAAGCAGTGAACTTCTATAAACAATAATACGTATTTGATTTATTATTAAACAATCATTTGAAAGTCACATACTCTCCATTCACTTGGTAAAAGTTCAAAAACAGTGATAATGAAAATATGGAGTCCTGGGTGCTCCACATTTTTCTGATGTTTCTTAAACCTCTGTATAGTTTTGAATACATTTTCAGATATACAGAGGGCATTGCCAAAAGCAAAAGGAAAAGGAAATGTTTCAAAGCCTTACTCATGCATAAGCAGTGAACTTCTATAAACAATAATACATGTTTTATTTATTATTAATCATTTGAAAGTCACATATTCTCCATTCACTTGGTAATCATTCAAAAACAGTGATAATGGAACTGTGGAGTCTGTTGGTTTCTAGCCTGGTGCCTTAACCACTAGAACAAACTAATTGAAAGCCAGTTTGGTATAGTGGTTAAGGTGTTGGCCTAGAAAGCAGGAGACTCTGAGTTCTAGTCCTGCCTTAGGCATGAAAAACTGGCTGGGTGATTTTGGGCCAGTCACTCTCTTTCAACCCAACTCACCTCACAGGGTTGTTGTTGTGGGGAAAATAGGAGGAGGAAGGCGCATTGATAGGTTCACTGCCTTGAGTTGTATATGAAAAAAAAGGTGGGATAAAAATCTAAAAAAACAAATGCTCCTTGTTTTGAACAAGTCTGAGGGAAGATAAAACTTGGCCTGTCAAAGAGGCACTGAATCTGTCATCATCCTTGAATTTGGGTCCACAGTGCAAGATTTAGAGGTAAGACAGGGATCCTGTGAGGCACTGGGAGAGTATTGGGAAACATCAGGTAGAACTTAGAAATGATTAGACCTCAAGTATGCTACCATTGCCAAGCCCCTCATATCCTTCTTTAGATCCTTTATCAGTGAATACATTTTCAACATTTCCAAACTTCAGATTTCAAGACCTCCTGCTGTTTTAGGATAAGCTATTTTAAGTCCAAGTGAATCATACATAATTACAGGTAGTCCTTGACTAATGACCATTTGTTTAATTACCACTCAAGCTTATGACAGCACTGAAAAAGTGACTTATGGCTGGTCCTCACACTTACGACTATTGCAGCGTCCCTGCAGTCACGTGATCAAAATTCGGACACGTGGCAACCAGAATGTTTATGAAGATTCTCAGTCAGAATGTATTTATGATGGTTACAGTGTCCTGGGGTCATGTGATTGCCATTTGCGACTTCCCAGAGGGCTTTTGACAAGCAAATCAATGGGGGAAGCTGGATTCACTTCATGACCACAGCAAAAAGGTCATAAAATTGGGTGCGACTCACTTAACGACTGCATTGCTTAGCGACTGAAGTTCTGCTCCCAATTGTGGTCGTAAGTCGAGGACTACCTGTACTGTATGCTGATATTTTGACTGTTCTGCATGATATAGTGGAGTTGGCCTATCCTTCAGTGTAAAACTCATTTTCCCAAACTCTGGACTTTTGGTTGTAAGCCAGTTGATTATTTATTCCATCTCACCTGTAGCTAGCGATAGATACACAACTAGTTGCTAGCCAGATATGCTGCCTCTACTCAAGATATGACAGCCTGGCTTTGTACAATATCTTAGACAAGATTCAAATAGGGTTGGGTGGTATATTGATTCAGGGTATTGCTAAAATCCAACCATTCACTTAGCATATTATATAAACCTAGCAATATGAACTGAAACTAATGAGGTAGGAACCAATGTTTTGTAGGCTAGACAAAACCAGCAAATAACCAATCAGTGCAATTTTCAGTAATTTGAGAAGATGAGAGGAAAAGACTTAGAATTCAAAACCTGAGAGGGAGAGGGGTATTTGAGAGAGAGAGCATGTTTTTGACTTCTGTGTCAGGAAATAAGTGGTTTTTTTAATACATATATGCAGTGGTGTGCTGTTTAGCTCTGCCAGCTACATTGTCACTGATGCACCACACCACTAGTAACGAAAGAGCTGATTGGCTCACTAGGTGCTGTGGCTCAGCTCTGCTTTCAGCCAGCTCACAAAATTCCAGAAAATATAGCAATAGGCCCTCATGAACCAGGACAAGACATCTCCAGCATGCCACGGCATATATGGCTTCTGTCTTGTCTGCAATAAAACAACATCTAGCCATGTCATGTCTATATAGTTCTGCCTAAACAAGTTCCTGAATTTTATTTTATTTAGAGGATTTATAGGGCCACCCATCTCACATATATGACTCTGGGTAGTTAAAAATGTTACAAATGATAAAAACTTTATGAAACCCATAGCAGCCAGAGGAAAAGAAATTATAAAGCCTCAACCAAATAGTTGAGCATAACCAAAAAACAGGCCCCATTCCACACCTAGGGGCCCAGAGCCACATGATATACAGCATGATGCATTTAGAAAATCAAGATTTATTGTCAAGCCTGACATGAAGTCTGACATTAGCAATGTGAAGCTTTTATAGCCTTGGGCAAGTATTAATTATCTGAAATGCTCAACATGAAAACTCTCCAAATAAGCCCTCCTCACTCCACCAAAATCACCTGCTAAAGGCAGTTGTCCATTCAGTGCCAACGTCTGCAGCTAGGAAGCTGGGTTGACTTCTGCCTGAGCTTCATCCCTGCTGCTTCGCACCCATCTGGAAGCCAACGCACATATAACTGCCTAGGTAAAGGCTTCCTGCTGCAGACAAGAACACTAAACTGTGAGTGCCTATACTGTAGCAGCTGAGACGGTTAAAGTAACATTGGTGGGTGGGGGAGGATTATCTGGAGCATTTGCGAGTGTAGCACTCTGGATAATGAATGCCTGACTGGGCTTAGGCCTGTCTTGAAAGTACGCTGACTCCCTTCAAGATTTCATAACGTGACTCAGTGTGGATCTAATCTTTCTATTCTCTACAGTTGCGGATTTCAGTCTTTCTCTTGAAAGTATTCCATCCTGGCTTCCTTTTGTCCCCAACAGTTTAGGTACTACAGAGAAAGACACTCTTTTCCATTCAAATGGTAGACAATAGGCTCAAAGAAAGAGCTATTTTTTTCCTGGTTTTCTGTCTGGTCCCTGGCGGAGAATCTGTATGGGTATGATTAAAAATTTAGCAGACTTTTTGTATGTGATTTTAAACCTTAAAATTAGAAATCTTGAACATGTATATTGTTAAATCAATGCTTGTTGCATTAGTAGAAGATTCAACTGAATGGTAACTCAATTTCAATTATGTTGATTGTCTTATGTGTTTAATTTTGGATATTCCTTTCAATTATTTCTTACAAAAGAAAGAATAATAGTACTAACAGCACTATTAACTGTAGCAAGAACTGGATTGCTCTTCAAATATGAAGTAAAGAGGAATAAATATTATGCAGTTTTATTGCCACATACTGTGGTGGACTCATAGCAGAATTTTGGGGCATATCAAAGGAGGAGAAGACAAGGCTGTGAGTGGGAACATCAGAATGGTCACTCTACTTAGTAAGCATAATATTATTTTACAAAAGCTGCTCATGCCACAAGCAATAAGATATACAGTACTTTTGTATTCTTACATTTTTAATATTAATGTATTTATTTTTAATTTTCTTGCTAATTATATGAGCTGTTATGGAGATAAATCATGAATATTGGAGTATACAGCATCTTACAGAACTGTGCTGTACTTTGAGCAGTCTTTGATATCAAACAGTATCAATATCAGCCAATGGACTGCTACAATGTAGTCCTAATGGGGCTACCTATGAAGACTACCCAGAAACTGAGTCACTTTGTGTGAGATGGGTGGCCATATAAATTTGATAGATAGATAGATAGATAGA